TGGCAAACACCGAGTGGGGGGCTTGTTTTACAACGTCGTTGCCAAGCGACGAAAACCCAAACCCCGATGGCAAACACCGGGGGGGGCGGCTTGTTTTACAACGTCGTTGCCAAGCGACGAAAACCCAACCCCGATGGCAAACACCGGGGGGGGGGGGGGGGGGGGGGGAGTTCGCGGGTACTATTACAGTGTTGCTGTGGTGTTCCGGCGAAGTGTCGAATGATGAAGTGCGTCTTACTTGAATTGCGGAAGAGCGGCTACAGCAGTACGCTTACTGTGAGCTAGGTGCTCCACCCTCTAACCTGTTTTAACCTGTTTTGAGCACTTTCTAGTGACACAGCACTCTAGTGGGTCGAGCGTTCCCCCCACACACACACAGACACACTCGAGACGTCTGGACGATTTACTCTTTCTCCTGGCGGCAGCTTCCTCTCGTCCCGGTATTGTAGGGAGGCGATGTCTGTTGTCTATACCGACTGCAGCGCGTTTATATGAGTATTCCTCCCCCCCCCCTCCCACCAACATCCCCCTCTTGAACGTGCGTGCCCCCTGCCAGGTGTGGGGTCTAGGGGACGACAAGGGCCGCCGAGCGGGAACTCGAGGTGGCGGACGAGACCGGGCCAGACGTGACCGTGACAAGGATCGGTTAAAGCAGGAGGACAGGGGGGTCAGCAGGTACGTTTCGAGTGCGCTGCCGACCCAAGAGAGAGAGGAAGGGAGGTAACAGAACGAGAGAATGAGAGAAAGGGAGAGAGAAAGGGAGAAACAAGAGAGAAACAGACAGGCAGACAGGGAGACAGACAGAGAGAGACGCAGAGTGTTTTTGTGCATCAGGGCAATAAACTTTGTTCGCCACAACTGCGAATCCGCGGTGTGCCCTAGCGAAGGAAGATCATCATTGTTATGCCGAAAATGGCTATAAAATAGTACCTTCCCATGGTGGGGTGGGTGTCCTGCTCAACTAAATACCATGGTTAGCATCGTCCGCGCTAACCGGCTGACCAATGAAAAGATGCAAGTCTCAGTGCGGTTGAAAACAGAAATTATTTTTAATGCCATGTTGTGTGTGTGTTTGTGGAATCAGGGTGTTCGTGGGCGGTGAGTGGCTGGCCATCCCCTCGGCACCTGCCAAGTACGACAAGTTCCTGCGGGCGAGGGCGAGCATCTTCAGGGAGATCAGCAACATGCTGCAGCTCACGGAGCACCCGAACATCCTACGCCTGCACGAGGTACGGCGACGGTAGAATACACGAAGCGTTTGCTAGGTTGTGTGGTGCTGATGTTTAGGCCGCCGATAGTTCGGTATCCACGTGCGGCGTGGCAGGAACGTGCGGCGTGTGGGTAGAGTCACAACACTGGTGATGAGGTAAGCAGTCTGCAAACGCTAGCTATGGTGGGCCTTTGCCTGCAGTTTTTCCCCTGGAAGGAAGCGAATTGAAATGAAAAAGCACCACTTGATTGTCGGCCGATGTACACCACCTTGTTATTTCCTTAGCGGCCCTTGTTTCATTTCTTTCTCGGGGGAAGGATTTCAGCCGTTCAAATACCTCGTTGGCCTTTGGAGTCGAACTTTGTGCACTACACACGAACTTCTCGCTGTCCAAGGGGATAGGTGGCTCTCATTGGACCCTTGTACACCCCGGCCCACACAGCTGACCAACCGTGCCCTATGTTTTTTGTCCTGGTGCGCACTCTTGTTGCGGCATTTCGGGGTTCGCCCCAGGCTCTGGAGCTGGTCCAAGACAGCAAGGCTACCATCTTCTTGGTGCTAGAGCTGGCTCGGGGGGGCGAGCTCTTCGACCGTATCAAGGTGAGACGGGGTGCTTGAAGAATCGTCCGGTACCCCCCCCCCCACGCGCTCTCAGCCAGTAGCCTTCGCGAGGATATCAAGCTTGGTTTTGGTAGGGGGTACGTTAGGGATAGGGATAGGGATACGAACTCCCCCCCCCCTTGTTTCGTTTCAAAGATGAATAGTTCAATCCTCTCGAAGGCGGTCGCTCTCAGCAGCAGCGCCAGCAAGCACGGTGCCGCCCGCCCGCCGTTCGAGGTTGTAGGTCTGGCGGGTGCGCGCGGCGGCTCCGACGCCAGTGGCACCGCAAGCACGGCGCCGCAAGGCTAGACGCGCAACGTTCCTTGGACGGCCTCCATGACTGCTGGTTTAGCCAGCCAGACCATTGTATGTTGTCGCTCTACATCCTCGCTCCGGCCCTATACCCCGTTCGAGTCGCTCTCTTTCGCGAGAAACACACGGCCCACACCCCCGTGCCTTGTACGAGTCACTCTCTTTTGCAACAAACCACACGGCCCACACCCGTGCACCCTGGACACGAGTCGCACTCTTTTGCAAACAAACCACATGGCCCACGCCCCTATTCCCTGTACGAGTCGCTCTCTTTTGCAACAATCCATATGGCCCACACCCCTGTACCCCATACGAGTCGCACCGTTTCGCAACAAACCACACGGCCCACACCCGTGCACCCTGTACACGAGTCGCACTCTTTGCAACAATCCACATGGCCCACACCCCTGTGCCCCGTGCTAGTGTCACCGTTTTTGCAACAAGCCACACGGCCCACACCCCGAACGAGTCGCTCTCTCTCTTGCAGCAAACCCCTGTACAGTACCCCGTGCGAGTCGCATCCTTTTGCAACAAACCGCACACGCCCTCGCTCCCCTCCCCTCCTCGTCCCCTCCTCGTCAGGTGGACTGCGGCGCGGACGAAGGCGCCGCTCGGCACTACTTCCGGCAGCTCCTCTCCGGAGTCCGGCACTGCCACGACCGCGGCGTCTGCCACCGCGACCTCAAGCCCGAGAACCTCCTCCTCGCCGACCCCCACGACTCCTCGGTCCTCAAGATCGCAGACTTTGGGTTCTCCGCCCTCTTCCGCGAGCTGGAGACGGAGTCGTCCTCAGGGGATGATTCTTCGGGGCCCCCGACCGCCACCGGCGGCGGCGGAGGCGTTCCCGGCGTGGCCGGCGGCGGCGGGCCGGCGTTGAGACGGCCGCGATCGGGGCTGTCCCTGGGCGGGAGGGCTAGGGGGACGGCTGGCGGGGGGGGCCGGACCCAGACTTGACC